TTTGTTTTCTCCCCCTAATGTTGAAAAAACTGATTCATCAAAATGGCAATCTTTATAACGAGTCGTAAATAAATTTCCTGTAGTTGGCTCTAAGTGATTAATTATCAATGCAGATTCATATCCAACAAATATCCCTAGTTTTCTTTGAGGGTCCATTTAAGTGCGTTGTGGTGGAGCAATTGGAACATATACTGCACATCCAAATATTCTCAAATGGGATAAATTTGGTTCCTGACCAAAAACCAATTGTTATGGGGAGAACTTATGATGACTCGTCGGCTTGATGCGAATTAGTGCTGCTGCATGTAATATAGGATGCCCCAAGCAGAAATTAGGAGCTTAGATTTCATAAGTAATTGTCCAGAAATCATCTGCACACGTTTAATTAATGATTTTGAAAGACCATTTTGTGTGTGAACATGTGCTATAGGATGTTCAACACTAATTCCAATTGACATGCAATATTCATTGAAGCTAAGGCCTGAGATATGAATTCACCAGCATTATCAAGACGAATAGTCCTTAATATGAAAGTGTTGAAAATTTGCTCGTAATCTGATCAACTGAGCAAGTAGTCTCGCACACGTCAGGTTGCGAGTTTATAACAATGATACGTGTGACCATCTAGTTGATGCATATATTAAAACCATGAAATATGTAAATGGCCCACACGGGGGATGAATTGGTCCACATATATCCCCTTGTATACGTTTTAGAAAAGTAATTGATTCGGAATTTATTGTAGTCGGTGATGGCCAGAGTATTAACTTGCCTATTGAGCAAGCAGCACATGAAAAATTATTATGAAAAATTTGGCTCTTCAATGAGTGTCCACATGATTTTTTGATTATTTTTCGCATTATTATTGAACCAGGATGGCCAAACCGGTCATGCCAAACTTTAAAGTCATCAGTAAACTTCTGGTTTACTATAGCATGTGATGCAATTGCATTTATTTTTGCATAGTACAAACCAGTGGAGAATGTAGGTAATTTCTCCATAGTAAGTTTATTGCCTTGAGTTACACTCATGATTTGAAGGAATTCATTATTTCCTTAATTGTCTCAATATGGTATTCATTTTGTTGAATTTCTTTAAAGCTTAGTAAATTTCTTTGAGACATAGGGGAGTATAATGCATCAATAATTTCCAATTTTGTTCCCCTTGGTAATAAAACATTTGCTCTTTCGGATCCTTCTATAATTTTTATACTACCTGATATAGTACTTACATTAATTTCTTTCATCATCACTGTAATACCCCGTATTTTTATACGTATTTTATTTAAAATATGTACTTTGTAAAAGTATTTAAATAATTTTAATGTTTTAATTATGGTATTTTAATTATTTATTCTATATAAATTTACAAATATTGTATAAAGAGGGAAAGTTTATTTAATTAATTATTTTATAAAAGTTGAGGTTTATTTTAGGAAAATATGATTTTAATAAATTTTATTAGGGTAGGGATTAGGAGAATTAAAAGAGGAAAGTTTAGGGAAAGGGTTAGTAGATAAGGGGTATAAATATCTAGGGGTGTGCAAAAAAACCGTAACCGTTTACCGTAACCGTTAACCGGTGTAACCGGCTCATTTAAACGGTTAATTTACCGAACCGTTTAAATTAAACGGTTACGGTTAACCGTACCGCTAAATATAGCGGTTAACGGTTACGGTTACAAGTTTTAGTAAACGGTTAACCATTGGTTAACCGTTAAAATAAATAAATATATATTTTTTTTGAATTAGTGTACAAATCAGTTTGGGAAAATTGGGTACGAATTAAAAAAACTTAGTATGAATTAAAACTTTGTAATGTATTTGGTTTATGGATTTGTAATCTTAATTAGAACATGAATTTTATTGTTTATTACTTTATTTTTAAGTTTGTATTAGAGTTGGATGTTTAGAACTATTGGAAATAATGCAAGGTTTAAAATTTATTAAACAGTTAATGGTTAACATGTAACCGTACCGTTAAGGAACGGTTAACCGCCCGACATAACGGTTAACCGTACCATTAAGGCTAAACGGTACGGTTAACCTATTGTGCACAGCCCTATAAATATCCCACTTATGAGGCAAATCAACTTTGCCCAGAGTGGAGAAAACCCAAGGTAAATTTCTCTCTCCCTTCTCCTTATTTTTCTTTCTTTTCTTTCTCTTTTTCCCCTTCCCCTTTCTTTTTTTTTCGGCTGCCCTCTCCCCGACCACCGGCAGCAAGTGGCCGCCGCTGCCAGCAGCTGGTGGCTGTCGTGTTTCCTCCTTCCCCTTTTTCGGTTATAAAAAAAATCAATCTTTATTGTTAAAAATTTATCTATGCTTGAATCTAATTATAAATTATGAGTTTTGGGATTTGATTTTGATGTTTGATTATAAGTAATATGTTAATTAATTTTCAAATTTATGTTTTAATTAAAAAAATCCCCAATTTTTGAAACCCTAGGTTCTTGATTTGTGAATTATTGAAGGATTATGATGTTTTATGGTTTAGATTTATGATTAAAGTGTTTTAAGGCTTAATTACAGCAAGTTTTAATTAAAATAAAGGGCTGGAATTTTTAGTAGAGAATTTAAAATTAAGTTTCTTTAAGAAATTTCAATTACCCAATAATTGGGACTAAAGTATGATGTTTTAAATATAATTTCAGCTTATTTTAATTAATTTATGAGGGGTTTTATAATAGTATATATTGCTGGAAATTTGTGTAGAGTGGATTTTAATACTCTTCTATGATTTTAAATTGTAGGAGATTTTGAAGTGAGCGATTTTTACTAGTCGTGGCGATTTTAAGATCGTATTCAAGGTACGTTCGTGTACTTAACATATTTTGGTGATGTAGTATCATGCTAGGCTTGATTTAAATCAATTACAAGTAGTATCATGCTAAGGTTTATGTTTGGAATTGTGGATCATTGATGTTGGTGATTGAATTGTGAAGCACGATTTATTTGTGATGGTTTATGGATTGGAAAAATTATATTTTTTGCATGACTATATAGACTAAACTTTTATTTGTGGCATGTTAGAATGCATGTTTAATTAAACTACATGTTTTATTTGGTTTGGAATATTGGAAAGGAATTTTATTATGGTTCATATAATTTTTATTGATGCTATAAGCATGAGGAAAGAGCTCTATAAGTGTCCATGTACACGAGGAATAAATTGTATGTTGGTGCCTTAGTGCACTTAAGGTGTTTTCATCACCGAGGGATAGGATTTGTGGCGCTTTATGCGTTTAAGGTGTCATTGGCACCGAGGTAGAATTAATAAGGGTTCAACAGTAAACATTATGTGGTCACTAATTATTCAAGAATTAAATTGGTATGTTTGATTGATTGAATAATTATTGTTGATGGAATTATTGTGCTTCGAGAGTCATCACCAAGTTTAATAATATGTAAATAACATAAAGTGAAAGAGATTATGCACCAAGACTCTTGGAACGTATATACCTTGAGTATGAACATATGGGGGGAGTTATGTGACTTTATATTTGATCATAAATTCTACTGGAGTACAGGACGTTGTACATTCCTTTTATTTATTATTATGCGCAGGAATTCCACCTATGTGTGCTTTTGATGCTGGCACGGTTAGCTCCCTTGTCAATAACCTAAATTTAATTTGGGGGAGGTAGAGTTGGAAACCCGTTCGATGCATAATCAACGCTAAATAAATTATTTAGTGTCTAGTTGAAGAGTCATGTTGAATGTTTTGTGTGTTTGTTAACAGGTGCATTGAGGTAAGTGTGTGTTGATAGGTGAAAGCATGTTAGTGTGTTTAATTACGCTTATGTGATCAAGCTGATTGTGTGTGTGTTAGTGTGTTTTAGCCATGTCTTGGCCCTATGATGATCCATTTTTAATGGAGAGTAGTGGAAACAAGTAGGGATAAGCTTTTCAGGTATTGAAGCGTATTCATGACAGGGCATGAGTGAAGAGCGAATCATGCTAGTTTTCATTAGTTACGATGTGTTATGCTTTAATTATTCATGAGATTATTTATGTGTTGAACTAACATCAAGTTTTTGGTTTTGGTTTGGTTTTAATAAGGGTCTTTAATAGTTCCAAGTTGTAGGTTGATTTTTATTTGACTTCGTTTGCTTTTGGTTTTAACTTTACTTTCGTTTGGTTGACTTTTGAATTGACTTGTTTTGAACGGTTTTTGTTTTTAGTCTTCCGCTGTGTATCTTTGATAATTGTCTTAGTCGTTTTCACGGTGGTGGTAATGTCTTAGATATTCCTAAATCGTACTTTAAAGAGTAAGATAGGTATTTAAAGGAAAGGAATTTCTAGGGTGTTACAATCAATTGCGAAAATATGTCTTATTCTCAAGTATGGTGTGAGTGGTAGCACTATAACCTAGACATAAATCTTCACCATTGGTTGATGATTGAGCTACAAAGGAATTCATATTCTAATATAATTAAAGGAACTAAAATAAGATTCACAATATCAAATAACTTAAATTAACAATGATAATAATGAAATATTCGAAAACATAAAAATGTCCAAAAACATAAAATTGTCCAAAAATAAATGTCCCATAAAGCATAAAGTCATAGTACTACAATACAATTCTATAATAAAATAAATGCAAGCTAATTAATAGAGTTTATTCAGCTGGAGACCATAATTTATTAAATTGTTTTCTTCAGGATTAGGAAAGAAATCATCCGCTTCTAGGTGAGTTGTATCACCGTAATCAAAATTACCTTCGCCATTATCATACACCAAATTTGTTTCCACTTTCTTTCCTTTTTGTTTGATTGATTGTTGATAAAAGTCTACTAGAAGTTTTGGATTTGCGACACACACGTGACCAATGGCCTTTTCCTCCATAACGGTAGCATATATTTTCATTTTTATCCTTCTCATTTTTATTTCCATCTTTATTGTCCCACTTCTAGTGATAGTATGAATTCCTAAAATGACTACCTTGACCACGACCATATTCACGTCCGCAGCCGTGACCACGACCTTGACCACGGCCTCAACCACGACTGTTGGCGCGATCTCTAGCCTTTTGCTCTTTCCCACTATGGGATGTCGCATTCACTTCAGGGAATGGAGTAGAGTCAGTTGGGCGTGATTCACGATTTTTCAGTAATAGTTCATTATTTTGCTCAGCTACAAGGAGACAAGATATAAATTCAGAATATTTTGTAAAATCCTTTTCACGGTATTGTGTTTGTAGGACAACATTGTTTGCTAGAAAAGTAGAGTATGTATTTTCTAACATTTCTGCATCCGTGATTTTCACTCCACATAATTTCAATTGTGATGTAATTCTAAACATGGCTAAGTTGTATTCATTTACAGACTTAAAGTCTTGTAATCTTAAATGTAACCAACCATAACGAGCTTTTGATAATATCACAGTTTTTTTGTGGTCATATCTTTCCTTTAAATTACTCCAAAGGACTTGTGGATCTTTAACAGTCAAGTACTCAGTCTTAAGGCCTTCATAAAGGTGATGGCGAAGGAATATCATAGCTTTAGCCTTATCTTGGCTTGGTGCAGTGTTGTTTTCTTTGATAATGTTACCAAGTCCTTTTGCATCTAAATGTATTTCAATATCTAACACCCAAGACAGATAATTGTTTCCAGTAATATCAAGAGCAACAAATTCGAGTTTTGCAAGGTTTGACATGATTCAATGATATATGAAACAATATTATAAATTAGGAACTAAGATTGTATAATAATATGTATATATATGTATATGCTAAGTTCAATTAAGACTAAGTTTAAGTAATTAACTATAATAGAATTTGGGTATTGAACCTTGAGGAAGGGTTACTGATAATGAGACCACAATTATGTTTACTAATCAAATTTTCATAACAAAATATGAAACCTTAACCAACAAGTATATAAATAGCTTTAGCCTAACTTATTATAACAAAGTACGAACCTTTGAATCTGCCACCAATACCAAACTTACTCTGACATCAATAATATGTCAAACAAAATCATGGTAATTCAAGGTATAACAAATTAATTTAACCATAGTAGGTTTAATTATCATATGCCTAACATAAGTATTTGTAACCCACAAAAAAAAAATCTAATTTGAGTACCATAATTAAAGTTGTATGCCTTGTTTTACTCGTAGGAATTAGTACTCCGTATGAAATGGAGAAACCGCTTAATCACATACCCCTAAAGATACAATTATGGATTATTAAACTTATAACCAAAAAAAAAACCATATAATACTAGAAGAGCTAATTAATTAGTTTGCTATAATTAGTTGTATACCTAATAGGTTTTAATTGTAATAATCAATAAATTCTAGATGATCTAATTAGTTTGTTGTATGATATGATTATGCATAATTTATACATATTTCAATACATAGTTGCATACATAGTCGACAAGGCATAATAAAATTTAAGCAATCATATAAGTGTTTCATATTACAATGATGGAGTTAGAAACAATCGCAAATAATGGTTAATTATTCTACAGAATTAGAGGATATGAAAACATGTGACTAAGAAGAATTTGGCTATTTACAGTGAACTATATCAAAAATAATCCATTAAAACATATAATATTAAAAATAACAATTATATTATATAAGTAAATGATAATAATCATGAAGTCAATGAGAACTGATACCTGTACGATATAAGAAATACCAATTATATTAAACATATAAAGGACAATACAAAATAAGATTGTTTATCAATTCAATAAATTAATAAATTGTGCATTGATCAATCATTAATCGGCAGCGGCAAATAGCACATCAACAAGCAAACTCATATAATTACATTGCATTAATAGAATAACACACATATTTAATATATAGTTCAATTATAGTATTATGCAATACCAACAAAACTCAACATCATACAAATTATAATTAGCAGTAACGAATTATTGGTGAAATTTACGCTATATAATTTAGTAAAATAATAACACTAACCTTGATGACTAATTTCCCTTTTATATTAATTATTTTTTCGTCTGCTCAATCGATTAGAGATGGTGTTGATAACGTGTTATATATTGAAGAGAAAATATAGAGAGATGAGGGAAAATTGTTATGTTGTTTCTCTTATTCCATCTAGTATAGGATATATATACATGTACATTACATAGGGTTCCATCAACAGATTAGATCAAATACTCAACTATAGAGTATTTTAAATAGAACATGGGATAATAGTTATCCACATCTAGATATTTCATAACAGAAACACCTTTTTCTTGTTTCTAATTTTTGGTTTTTTATTAAAAAAAGAAAAAAAAAAAGAAAACCGAAAACAAAAACAAAAACAATGCCACAAACACCTTATTAAAATTGAACTAGTGAGTCGTCCGGGCGTTGCCCCGAGTTACTACTTTTATAGTTGTGCAACTGCTAATTTTTAAGTGCATCTACTAGTTTATAATTTTTTATGTAGTATGTGCCTTCAATACTTTGTAGTATAATATTTATTTATTGTGCAAGGTTAAAGCAAAATTGACAATTAACCTAGATGGTTAAACAATAAATTTTGTTCATTGTTTTTAGGAACGTTTTTTAATACGTGGGCCCTTTTTCTTTTGAGCTTCTGGGCAGAGTAGAGCATAGCAGAGCAAGATTCAATAGAGTAGAGAAGATTTCAGCAGAGCAAAGCAGATTGAAGCAGAGTAGAGTACAACCGAGATTATTAATATTAATATTAATATTAATATTAATATTATTATTATTATTATTATTATTATTATTATTATTATTATTATTATAAAAATATAAAAAAAAAACCTACAAAGTCAAACAATTTAAAAGAAATTGGTGGGGAGCCGAGATACAATCTGGGCCCCCACCCCTCTAGTTATAGCGAACCTGATCCTATTGAAGATGTGAGTAGCTGCACGAGCACCAATATCCTGAGTCTTAGCGAACGCCTGGACCCGCTTCGACAATGCAATAACATCATTCTCTTCCCCAACGAAGAAAAGCAGAACGGAATAAAACCATAGCCAATAGCCCTTTAACGCGCCCCATACTTGTCCCGCTTCCGTTGAGCCGCCGCCGACACAACACTACCAGGAACGAAGTCAGACAACCCCAATTGTGTCAAAGGTGAAGACCTCGTCAAGTCAATACAAACATTAAGGCCTCTATCCCAAGAATAAAGCAACACATCTGCTGGTCGAAGAACACCGTCGTTTCCTCCAGTCAACCCAACGTTAACCTCCTTTCGAGCAGAATTCCCAGACCGAAAACAAATATCAACAAGGGTGTCACGAAAAATGTTGTGCCGATGTTTAATACCCACCATCCTAGCACAAGACACTGCATGATCCCCATAAAAAACCCTTGAGTAAGCAGAACACGGTATTGAAACGGAGAACAAAGGAACACCGAATAGATAGCAAAGAACACTACGGTAAGTCTTACCATTCATGGTCTGACCCAAATCTGATATCGGGACCGTCCGCAACTAGGCCAAAGAGTGATCCCCCGGTTGGGACTTCCATAATGCAACCTGACACGGAGATAATGAGAAAGTGGAATCCGCAGATGCAGTGACCTTTGTGAAATAAATATCTGCCAGTCTTTTCATGATCTTGGGGGCAACGATCTCCACTAGGGTTACTCTTAAGGTCAGTCTCCACACTCCAGTTAAAAAGACTAAGAGCACCATCGAAGGTCAGTCCCGGACCAACCGTACCAGAATTGCGAAGAAGCAAAGCTTGAAGACTAGAAGATTGCAGACACGACGCAAGAAAGCATAGTGTCGAACATCACCCGGTGAATAGACACCCAAACCACCATAAGCAAAAGGTAAGATGGCAAATTGCCATTGCCAGTCACCAAAAACAGGCCCCAAAGCAGTTAATACGCTCTTGTAAGGAGGGTGATCCCATCGTAAGAGGTACTCTCCTTAAATGCCCTTGGCCACATAAAAGCCTAGGACTTTTCACTTGTTAGGGTGTAGTAGGATTTGAATTCCTGACTGTTTGGGGGACCTTGAATTAGAATTGGTTATATCATTACGCTTTTTCGTAAGAAACAAGTAGGAGTCGCCAATGAGTTTTAGGAAAAACTCATAAACTTCATTCATGCCTTTCTTCCATGTGGAATTCATGGAATAATTAAAACAAATCATAAGTTTACCCATGCTTAAATTGGTCTATAAACCAGAAATGAGTTCGGGAGCGAGGGTACTAAAATAACGTTCCTTTTAGAGGGGAATCGTTATCCTAGCCCTAGTACGGCCTCTACTAGCTCTTCCTTTTTTACAATTTCATCACCAAACAATATATGCAACGCGATACCTAAAACTATATTAGTTAATTTTATTTACAAGCATTAATTCACATAGGAATTACATCGTAATGTCGCTATTCTTATTTAATTAAATTCGTGAAAAAGGACAAGAAAATAAATAAGATTCGCCTTGGCTTAAGTGATCAACCAACAATAATTTAATTCAATTCTAATATTTATTTAACGAAGATACTATGTGGAGTTGATTAATTAATTATTTAAAGGTGATCAAACAACACTAATTAATTAATTAAAGTCTTTTTAAACAAGAAAATAAAGGTGATTTAACTAAGTGCTCGAGAATTTACTACTTCTCTTTGTTAGATCTCCGTTTAGAACACTTATTGACTCCTTCTTGTTGGGGAACCTCCACCGTAGTAACAAGATATCAAAAGGGTGAGTGTTTAGGACAAGAGGGCTAGGTTGCACAAGTTCACAAGTTATTTCGCCAGAGTTTTAGGTTAATTTATGTCTGTTTAAGCCTCGGTCTAAGCTCGTATTTATAGAGAATTATTAGGTTTAGGGTTTCGAACATTCTGCCGCAGCAGGTGTCGCGCGCAACAAAAGCGCAACAGAAAGAGTTGCGCGCGGCATCCCAACGCAAGTCATATGGTCGCGCTGCTAAGGGCAGCGTAACTAATTGACTTGTGCGCGACTTTATGGTAAGATTCGATTTTATATTTTTCGTATAATTCTGAATCTTCCGCAGCGCAACTCTGGGGGTTTCTGAGTTGCGCTGGGTGTCGCGCACAACTGAATTAGTTGCACGCGGCATCCCTACGCGACTCTTTGATATGCGCGCGGCTTTTTCTGCGGCAGCACTAAGATTTAACCTAGGCGCTCCTAAATCCGTCATTATTAGGGTTTAAGCACGGGCTTAAGCCTAATTATGATCGGGTTTAGTTAATTGGACCTTTGTTTTAGCTTTTTCTTTAATTTGGGCTAGTCTTTTATGTTTTGTGGCTTAACCAGTTATCCATAAGCATTCTTCACTTTGATCCAACACGAAGATGGTTTTATTTATCGTCATTGCACTTCCTGTCGGGACAGGAAGACAATAGTAGATGTCTAGCCCCTACTTTGATCGAGTCTAGAGTAGACGATGATTAAAGTAGTCGAGGAAATAAATCCGAGACTCATTCTGCAAATTTCTCTAAGGATAGAGAATCTTTCAGTAATGTTTAAGGATGTCGAAACAATCCTTGGTTTGCTAAGTGTTTGAAACAAGTAGCTATTAAGGCTAGAAAAAGTCCTTCCTAGTCTTAACGAGCTAAAGAATCTAGATTGATCCTTTGCAATTGTAGAATGCTTTTACAAGTAAAGGTGTTCCGGGTGATCTAAAGTCATGAGAAAAGATCGGTTGTAAAAGGATGAAAGGG